GTGGCCTCGAGGCGCGAGGGGAGGCTCTTGGCGGAGATGAGGGGAAGGCAGCGGTCCGTCATGTCCCGGAAGGGGACGTCTCGGATGTGGCGCCGCTCCAGCTCCGGGGGCTCGGCGCACAGTGTGGACTGCGGCTCGATGAAGCGGATGCGCTTCCCGGTGCTGTTGACCCAGCGGATGACGCAGTCGCAGCGCAGCGGGTTGCTGTGGATGCTGATCTCCTGCAGGTTGGGCAGGGACTCCACCGTCTGCTTATGCAAGGCACTTAAGGCGTTGTTGTTGAGCATGAGGGTTTCCATCTGAGGAAGGTGGTGGAACGCGCTGGGGTGGATGAAGGAGAGCTTGGGGTTGTTGGTCATGTCCAGCTTGGTCAGCTCGGGGAGGTTGATCAAGGCAAATTTGTCTATGGAAACCAGCTCCTCCATGTTGTTAAGCCCCAGCTCTTTGAGGTGCAGCATGTTCGTGAAGTCACTTTGCTTAACCCTCTGCAAGGGGTTTTTATTCAAATCTAGGAACTTGAGGCCAGGAACTCGCTGCAGCGCCCGCCTGGGGACATCCGCGAGCTTGTTGTCGTAGAAGGAAAGGCTCTCCAGGCTCCGCAGCCCCTCCAGCGCGTAGTCCGAGATCTCCCGCAGGTTCATCCCCGCCAAGACCAAGCTCCGCAGCTTCGCCAGGGGCCTGAAATTCATATCCGAGATCGCGTCCACCTTGTTGCCTCCGATCATGAGGATCTCGAGGCTGGGAAGCATCTGGAACCAGCGGCTGTCGACCGTTCTGAGCAGGTTGGAGTTGAGGTGGAGCCGGAGGAGGCTGCCGAGGCCGGAGAAGGCCCGGGGCGAGATGCTGCGCAGCTGGTTGTGGTTCAGGTAGAGCTCCTGCAGGCCGCCCAGGCCCGGGAAGCTGCCGTCGGGCAGCTCGGCCAGCTGGTTCTCCTCCAGGTGCAGGCTGAGCAGCTGGGGCAGGAGGCCCAGGCCCAGGTCCCGCACGTCGGAGAAGCTGTTCTGCGACAGGTCGAGCTCCGAGAGGTTGCCCAGGTAGCCCAGCGCGCCCGGCTCGAGCCGGGCGATGCGGTTGCTCTGCAGCAGCAGCGTCTGCGTCCCCCGCGGCAGCTCCTCGGGCACGGCGGCCGCCAGCCGGGCGTGGGAGGCCACGGGGGGG